ATGTAGCTCAGCTAACCCCCCCCCAGCTTTAAACATGTAGATTTGACATGCTGCATGCTTCTATCAACACTGACTGGCAGTGGGATGGGATGGCAGTGGTGAATGTTGATTTATCACCGTTTTCACACAGTTTGCTCTAAACCACACATGCATGATCCGATCTGTGCATCATCAGGGAGACCTGCTAAACACGTTGTTGTGTTAGTTGTACAAGATCACTTTAGCCCCAGTCGGTCTGTTCATCCATTCACCTTACGAGATGATTAAAATAATGAAGGCCTGTGATGATTCTAACAAAACTGCTAACACTTGGTCACTACTGACTGGTGACAGGTGGCATTGAGTTCTCTTGTTTTTCTTTAATGCAAGGGCAGCGCCTTTCAGTGGCTGCAGCCCCAGGCACCTGTCCCCCCATGTATGTTTCGTCTTGTCTCTTCTGGATGGGTTGTACTGAAACTAATTTTGTTGTGCCCTGTACTTTAACAAATAAATCCTCAGTCAAGATTGTTGATGAAGAGAACATCGTACAAACTTGTCATCACTATATTTAATCTGTGTGCACAGAAACCACCAGGGCTAAAGGAGGAAGATGAACCTGAGGAAGAAGAGGAAGATGAGCTTGGTCACGCAGAGACCTATGCAGAATACATGCCAATGAAATGTAATTATACTTCTTTTTTAATGTAGCTTTGTACCATCAGTGAGTGAATGTGTGTGTGAATGGGTGAATGTGTGTGTGAATGGGTGAATGTGTGTGTGAATGGGTGAATGTAAGTGTACAGTGATTTGGGTTCTGGAGGGACTTGATAACGTGCTCTAAGTTTGGTACATTTACATTTGTTGTTGTTGTTGGAGGTGAAATTTGAAAAGTAACAATAGCAGTGTTGAAGCCACACATCACATTTTTTACTGTGGCCCTTTTTTAATAACTTTGAACTGTGACTTTAGTTTTGCCCAAATTGATTTAAATTGATTTGTGTGTTAAAATTATACTGCTGCATCACTTATAGCCAATAATACTCCAAATTCAGATGTTTTCATTGTATGCAGTTCTTTGAAAGTCTCAAAGTAAGAGGAGTATGGAACTTGATTTTAGTATTTTGCTTGTCTAATATGTAAAAAATGTAAAAATGTGCAAAACCATATTTTTAAATATTATTCCCTATTTCAGTTTAAAGAACTGGACTCAAATGATAAACTTACTCAAACATGTTTTTTAGTGAATGAAAAATGACCACAGTCACAGACCATCATGCTTTTCACATTTTATTGGTTTATAGATGGAAACCTTTAGGCATTTACAATTGATTTGATTACAATTCAAAAGGCTTCAAGTCAATAATAAAACCATTATTGATGTATTTGATTACCTTGACACTCAAGATAAGGATTATATGTTTTTAAAAGTATAGTTATTCAACACTTTATTAATCACAGACTGCTAACCAACAATAATATTATAAAGCTAATACAGTTAGCATTGTTTATTACTTGGAATATAAACATAAAACAGATGTTTCACAGTCATTTCTGAAGGAAATTGTGTATTAAATTCAGCTGTTTTTATGTTCATAGTTCATAGATGAAAAGTAAAGAAAATTCTTTTATAAAAATGTTTCCTACAGCATGTCTCTTTACAGGAAGTCATGATACCTTTATCAGGACAAATGTCATCGAGCAACAACTACTGTGCTAACTCTTGTATTGGCAGCACAGATTGATATTAACAAAATGGATTTTGGACATTTTAAAATTAAAAAATCTTGCAAAAGCAACAAAGTAGATGATGAGCCCCACCTCTATTGTGAACCCCAAATTATTTTTCAAGTGTAACATCTTGCATAATTTACAATGATAAATAATACTGCTGTACAAATATTGACAATAAATTTCCAGGTGTGTCTGTCAATTTGCTTAAAAATTAACAGAAAAAACTGTTTAAGTTGGGTTTTGGGGGAAAAAATTATATAATTTTTTTTCCAAAAAATATTTGAAAAGGAATATTAAATAATTTAATTATGTAAAATGTGTAGGAACCTTGTGTATGTGAAGTGATTCACCAAGTTGTGAACTGTAAATACAGTGAACATTGGCTTGAGGCATCCCGATCCTGTGGTGGAGACCAGTTCTCTGTCGAGTGTGAACCCTCCAGATGTGTGGTACAAACTGTCCATCCCAGAGGAAGTCATTGATCGAGGCTGCTTGTCTGCACTGCAGCTGGAAGCCATTACGTATGCAGCTCAGGTATGTAGCATTCATTACACTAATCAAAACTATTTTAAAAATGTTTTGTATTTGATAATATTAACTGCTAATTTTATTTTAACTGTCGGGATCTTCAGAGTCATGCATTCTTTTAATTAAAACGTTTTCTGTTGATCATTTATTGGTATATTTCAGAAAATGGATAGGCTGATCTAACTGTTGCACTAATAAGATTCATGTTAAGTTGATCTGAGTTGTATTTAGCATATGATGTGATGTCCTTATTTAAAGCAGTGACAACAGTTCTGTCAAATAGTTATCAATAACTGTCAGACTTCAGTCTTAGAGCATGGAGATTAGAGTAAGAGCCAAAAATACTTTGTTTAGGCTCATAACTAGCCAATCAAGGACTCAGTCGCAGTGCAAACGGGAAATGAAAATAAAGTCTGTTGGTCTTGTGAGCTTGATGACCTGAAAAATAAGGGGGTACCTGCTTACATTTTGGAACATCTAGGTGTAAGTAGTGACCCTAACAAAAATTTGGGATGCATCAATACCAGTTTTTCATCCAACTGAGGACTAGTTTAAGGTACTCACCGATAGGAGTACTTACTGAGTAAGAACTTTAAACGTTACACAGAGGTTATAAAAGCACATTTTTATAATTAGAACCTGGTACTAAATCAGATGCATATCAGGGGCCTCATGTATCAACAGTGTGTACGCACAAAAAGCTTGCGAATGCCCCTTTTCCATGCAAAACTTCAGATGTACCAAGACTCAAATGAACATGGAAATGTTTGCTGCGCCACGCCAACTCCAAGGCTGACATGCATGTTTCTGTGGTTCTGGTTCCATTGGTGAAACTTGGAGGTGATTCTGGTAAACTGTTAATGGTATGAAAATGACTATTATTCACACCAGACACACAACAATTATTACATTGTTAGATAAAGGACACGCAAAGTTGTGCTAATATTGTGCATAATAGCAAAGTGTTTATCATTCCTGCAAACTTGTAGCTTTTTGGTGAAATTCTCTGATTTCAAACCAAACTGGTTCATTTCAGAAACAAGGTGGTTATCTTCACTATAGAAGATCTTTAGTGTAGTGACTCATTTGGCCAATCACAACCAAGCTAAGTATCTGTCTTGATTGTGATTGGCCGAATTGCTCTCGTTTAAGACGGAGGGATTTCTTCACGTTTTCACAAGCTTACCACAACAGCAGGGGTAGTTACATAATAAATCAATGTTTGGTATAAAGCTCATTTTCTCTGCTTTCTGATGCCAGTAGAATTTTTCAGATGGCACAATTTATTATAATTTAATGGTGAACATCGCAGAAGCTTTTATTTGCGACAGACCCGGTGACTTCTAAAATGGATTAACACTTTTTGTTTGAAGTTTGGGTAAATTTAGTTCCAGCCATCAAACATGAATAATGAAGTGAAAATGTTTGTGTAGATCACAAGACTTGAAGTTCTCCGTCACAACAGATTTTCGTCACTTTGAATGTGGCCAGGATGGATTTCCTTTATCTGTAAAGGGAAAAAAACAACCTATGTTGTAGTTTCATTAAAGCTGCCCAGTTTAATGATTTAAGATTAAACAAACACTGATTTCAACAAATGAAACAAACTCCAGAGCACTTTTATTCAATCAGATCAAAGCAGGGCGTGTCCTTTAGTGAGGCCAGGTTCAGATTCTGCAGGAGCTGCAGTCAGTCCTGATAGTAAACCTCTCCGGATCTTCCAGAGACTTTGGTCTATAAACCCTAGTATTATCTTAAATATGTGTGTTCAGTGCGTTGTTATTGAACAGATATGTCCAACTTTGTGTGCGTGACTAAACTCTTTGCTTCTCGTGAGAGACCGCTATCAGAGGAGTGACATCCGGTTGACATTCAATGCTAACATTAGCTTTCGATAACAAGTCTGGATCAAAACAAAAGAAACTAAGGAATCACTAAAGTTACCAGCCGACTCTCCACAAAACTAAAAGACAACAAATACCACACAAGCTGTGTTTCCATTACAAATGTGCGCAAAACTTTGTTGATATTCTGTTAATGTCAAAAAACACAGTTTCACAACTGAAGTGTTTCCATTAAGTAATAAATGTTATTAAAGTCACGTGAATATGTTTGTTCTCATGATAAGTCATTACAAACATGGCAGCGATGGATGTAAACACATAGCATGTTGCTACCACGACACTAGCGCTCATCATCAGAGGAGACGTCGGCGTCTTTTATCGAGGCTTTCCAGAGACAAGTCCCTACTTGGGAGCGGCTACGTATGCTGTGTTTTTGGGAAATTGTAGTTGCTGAGTTTACTATTTTATACTACTTCTGTGATATTACTACTACTTCTACTTCCTGTTATCTTCTTCATCATCGTCTTTTTCACCAGTAGAAACAGACGGTTGTTGATCATGTGACTCCTGTGATGTGAAAAAACTGTTTCCATTGCAGTTTTGTGAAAAACACCAATTTAGATACGACTGAAAAACCACCTCATCCTAGAGCAAAAACATTTTGTCGAAAAAACATAATTTCTTTCGAAATTAACGTGTTTCCATTGAGCAAATTTATTTTAGAAATTCTAATTTGCGCATTTTCATGTCAATGGAAACGCAGCTAGTGACTTCTGTTTGCAAAGATTTGCGCTCCTACGCATTAGAGAAAACAAAGCAGGGTGTGACGAGCGACTCGTTAGGTGCTTGAACCAAACTATGGTATGTGAACATCTGACTGAAACTGTTCTCCACAACATGTATAAATGTGTGAAAGACGACGTTCTAACAAAATCATTTAGTTTTGTTACCAATATTATTATTTTTAAACTTAAACGTCTTAATGAAATCCACAGTGATGAAATTTTGTAGTTGTTTTAAGAAGTTATATGTATTGTGGTTTAATAATTTTTATTGAACATAACAACAGAAGGTAACAGAAACATTACAAATATACAGTTTTAAGATAAGATAAACCTTTATTGTCATTGTACAGAACACAATGAAATTATCATGCAGAACACCCATTCACAATTTTTCATACACTGAAAAGGAGTGGGCAGAATAATATTTCTATTAGCCCACCTTCTCCTGCAACCTAATTCCATCACTTCTAATTTATCAAAAATAATTATTAATTATTTTAAAATGAATGCATCCAACGACACCGTCACCTGCAATTCCTTTTTACTTTAAAACCTTTTATACATGTTACAGTTTCATTTCAAGATTAAACAGTTTAATTTAAAAGTTTGTCCTTAAAACCTGTTGTTTATGTTAAAGAGAAAAAAAAATGTTGATATTGTATTTTGCAACACAGTTGGAAAATACAATATCAACATTTTTATCGAATCATGATTAATCAATTCTGAACTTAATGAATCAAAACAGAATCGATTTAGAGAATAGGCCATGATACCAGCCCTAATAATCAGAGGTTGAGGTGATCTGTCTTCATGAAGGGCTTAGTTTGCTGCCAGTCTTTGTACACGTTAAACTACAAATCCTGTGATAACTGCAGGCAAAAAATGGCACACTTTACTTGTATGTTTTCAACCACTATGCTGCTACAACCCCTTGCATACAACAGCTTGTTCACCTACCAAATAAACAAAGTTCAGTCATGTCCACTGCTTGTTGTTTAAACTTGGCAAAGTGTGTTTTCAGTGTGACTTGGATTGATATCAGTGATTTTTACACGTGGTTGGAAGTGGTCCACAGCTGTCGATATGAAGGTCTAATAAATATGACCGTTTCTTGTATTAAAATTAAATATTCTTTCATAGCTAAGTTGATAGCAATAAAAGGTTTCCATGTTAAAATTTTTGGGACCATTTTAATGTTTTTGTTAATGCGTCGGTTTGGTCTTAAATATCATTCCTAATGGTTTTAAAACGTCTTATATGTAACTTAACGAAACATGCATGAACCCTGTAAATATAAAAGTCTGCACCACACTTTTTCAGACAGATTTCTTAATGCACGGCATTTTTTGCTAGTTTTATCTGTGAGATCGTGGCCATTTTATTATCTTTTATAAATGTCTGCTTCTGGGTACAACAACCTGGAAGAACGTAATTAAAGCAACATGCAGAAATCAAGTGCTTCTCAGCATTAAAAACACACCAGTCATACAATAATCTCCCATGTGGAAAAGGAGTGAAAAATTCTGCCTTCTTTTTGTGACAAGAAGTTCAAGTTTATTCATAAAGTGCCAAGTCACAACATCCATTGTCTCAGGACTCTGTAGATAAAAAGAACAATGTAAAGAAGAAAGCAGCAGATTGTGTTGAATCACTTCATCACAGTCTCCCATCCTGAGCAAACGGTGGAGAGGAAAAACTCCCTGCTAATCAGGAAGAAACCTCCAGCAGAACCAGGCTCAGGACAGGAGACCATCTGCCTGTCATTTAATGTGATCTAATGTGATCTAATGTGATCTAATGTGATCTAATGTGATCTAATGTGATCTAATGAACATTACAGCTGAT